GGTAGCATACGAGCTCGCTCTGCCTGAATCTATGAAGATTCATCCGGTCTTCCACGTATCCCTACTGAAACCAGCAACTCCAGACCCCTTCCCGGACCGAAGGTCTAACCACCACCGGAGGCAGTAAACGTGGATGGGGGGAGGAGGAATTTGAAGTTGAGGCTATCCTGGATTGTAGGAAAAGGGGAGGCCAGACTCAGTTTCTGGTGAAATGGAAAGGGTATGGGGCGGAAGAAAATTCGTGGGAGCCGGCCCAAAATGTGCACGCCCCAAGACTTGTGCAGAGATTTTTTCGGAACCAGGCATTAGGAAGGGGTCGGTTGGGCATCCGGAGGCTGCCCGTAGGAGGGGGGCAATGTCAGGGATCCCGGCCGCTCAGCGTCGCGCGCATGCGCAGATCGCCGACTCTTCCTGGCCGGCGAATACAGAGATCGCGGCGGCGGCGCGCGCATGCGCAGTAGCGATCGCGGCCGCACCAATGGAAACTCAGGGCGCCCTATTTAAATCTGCCCTGTGCATTTCCAAAGTGCCGCAAGGTCTTGTTCCTGTTCCTGTGTTCCTGCTAGTACGTTTCCTTGTTGCCAAACTCTGCCTGTTCTGATTACGCTGACCCTCTCCTGCTCTGACCCCGGCTCGTTCCTGACCATCCCTCTGACTGACTCTCTGTACCACGCTGCCCGCTACCTGCTGAACCTGGCTTGTGACCCCGACCATCCTCCGCTTGCTCCCTCTGTACCACGCTGCCCGCACGATACCGACCCGGCTAGTCTGACCTCGCTCACTCCTAGCAGCAGTCGTCCATCCATCCCGCTCGGATCGGGATCTGTCATCCCATCCATCCCGCTCGGATCAGGGTCTGTCATCCCCTTCACAGCAGACTCATCCCGGGCACATACCCTCAGCGGGACCCCTCTGCCACCGCCGGGGGTGCCCAGGGACGCGACCTGGTTCCAGTCTTGCACCAAGTCCATCCCCACCATCAGGGGCTCTGGTGAAAAGGCAGACTGGGACTTAGACTCCGCGTCCTGGGAAACCCCGTGCCGTGGACCACTAGAGATCCCGCTGGGCGGAGAGTAATCCCATCTTTCTCATCTTTAGGTACTCCTGCCTTTAATAGGTCCACCCACATTTGTTTCCTAGAGATAACTAACCTGGTTTTCTCTTCACCTCCTGTTTTCTCTCACATTCCCTTTCTTTTCTGCTTGTTTTCCTCCTTTCTGACCTTATCTAATGCCCTGACAGGGTTTGTTAGTCTCCTCTAGCTCCCCCAACTGACTTAACAGGGTAGTGGCTTCATGAATCTTGCGGTTTAATCCCAGGCCCCCCAACAAGGACAATAAGGGAGCCCTGAGATTAAATTAGACTTCATCAGCTTAGAGCGCAGAGCAGACGTAAAGGGTTCCATATCTGGACCAATCCATTCTGGAAACGTATATTTATACAACCCATCTCACATAACCTGAAAATTCCTACTCCTGTCGTTCTCCCCGAGTAGGTATTTCCAGATCACTAGGATTAGCATATACTCGGACAATCCCATCTCTCACAAGGTCTAACAATGAAAAATTCACAGTAGACTCGGATTTTTTGCATGGCCTGATGCAATTGTGGATTATGTGTTAACACTCCCTTAGCCACTGCTTCCTTGCCTGACAGCACAACACTGTCCGGCCCTTCATCCTATAAACGTAAGAGCCAACTTAATAGGCGTTCATTCGACCTCTGTTTGTATTGTTTAGCCAGTTCATGGAGTTTAGTTTGTGTAAACTCCCTTACTTCTTCAAATTCCACATCTCTGGGGTTGCGGTAATTCACCTTCCCATCTGCCATATCCTATCATGTTGCCTTTTCCTATGCTTAGTAATAAGAGGTCTGGCACACTTTTTCTTTCCCACTACAAGTTCATCAGAAATAGCAAATTCTATCTCCTCATCCCCACTATCATTTGAGGAGAGCACATCCTCACAATCCCAATTTTGGAGATGTGACAATGGCATGTACCCTGGCTTTACTAACAGGTTTATGGCAATTCTTTTTCCTTAAGGCATTAAATGATTTGGTCATGAGGGCTGCACACCGCTCTTACAAATCAACAGCCCGACTAGCAGTTGAATGTACACACTCTGAAGCAACTGCTAGCTGGCCCTTAATTCTGCCTCTGCCTTCTCCCTCCTTTGTGATTCAGTATAGAGAGCATGAAGAAAGTACCAACCCACTCTGCACACTGTCCTCTTCTCTGCTTTACTTAACCCCTTCATGCCTAAGGGTAAAACAAATCTAAATGTGTAAGCACAATTCTGCAACGTTGACATGTGTTAGTAAAACCGTACATATCTTTCATATGGTGGTAAATGGTAATCGATAGCTCCTGATTATTTATCAAAGGAAAACTGGCCCAAAATAGTAAAAAAAACCCTTTTTTTTTTATTTAGCTATATGTTTCTTGTTACTACTATAACCTACCACCAAAGAACAACCCAAAATAAATTCTCCAGCTCTTGACCATCGCAGTGATACCATAAATGTTTATGTTTGTTGTTTGTACCCGTAGTATAGCCCAAAAACAATAGTGCGCATTTTGTTTTTGTCTTTTTTTTTTTTTTGTTTAAAACAAACTGACACCAATTTTTTTTTAAATCCTGACCTTTGACCCTGACCCAAACACTAACCTTGGCACTGAACTAGATCAAACCTTGATTTAGGTATTTTTCTTTATTTTTTAATATTTATTTATCTTTTTTTTTCTCTCTATGCCAGGAGTTAGATAGATACAATGTATCTCTCTTCTCCATTCATAGAGGAAAAAAAGGGGGGCCGGGCTGTACAGTGACTGATCACTGTGATAGCCAATCAGAGGCTATCACAGCGATCATGTGATCCAGACTCGGGAGTCCCGGGTCCCGATCGTTAGAACGGGACCCGAGGCTCTCAGTGACACCTGCGGTCTTTGTGCTGGGAGCGCGTCGAGTGGCGCGCTCCCAGCACAAAGACAAGTACGCAAATATGCGGCCCCATAGAAAAAAGCCCAGTTCCGTGAGGCCGCATATTTGTGTGACGTCGGAGTCAAGGGGTTAAATCAAGTCCCTCAAGGCTAAAATCTACAAAATGATTTGAGACTTTTATCATCCCAAGTCTTATTCAAGGGAGAAACAATTTAGCAAGAGACTCCCACTCATTATTTCTGGCCCAGGTCAGGAGAGTGCATGCTGCCTCCTGGTCATCAGAAACCTCTGCAGCCTTGTTTTTCATAAACCGCTTATGCATTTTTATTTAGCACAGGCCACAGAACACACCACAGAAAAACAGGTCTGCTTCAGTTGAACTTTAACACAAATCCTGGCACGAGCCCCCAATTGTTTTGCTTGGTGTCTAGTAAAAATTACTTTGCATTATAAGCAAGGAAACCTAGACCTCCGTAGTGTATTAATGTGCGTGTACTAAATGAAAATGCTGTACATAGAAACAATTACAATTCTAAGATAACAAGACTGACAGATATACCTATAACAAGCAAAAACGCTATGTACTTCCTATCGAATCTATGCTCTGTATACAATAGTAATACGCTGAAAAGGTTACTTTCAGCGGGATTTGGGGGGGGGGGGGGGGTAACAAGGAAAGGCTTGAACCGCTGGAGATGCGGGAAAAAACAGCTGCCTCTGGAAGCGGGGAACAAACCTGTGGGAGAGGCAGGGGGAGCTCAAGTTGTTGATGTCCGCAATCTGATCCGGACCCGGAGCTTCGCTGGTGGAACCCATCATGCAGGGAGGTTTACCGCACCACTCCTGTGTGAACTCAAAGTCACTATGACAAGCCTGGATTCAAAAAGGAGCTGTGCGGGAAACCGAATGTGATTCAGACAGGAATTAAACTGCATTCCTGTTCAAATTTTTCAATTCTTTGCAGTGCTATTTGGGCCCATTCATTTTGTACGGGCTCAGATTGCACAGCAAACGCATTGGTTTTGGGTATCAGAAGCATTTGCACAAGTACTCATGCAAGTACTCGGTATCGACATCAATACTGGTATCAGTGCACCCCTAGCCTTTAGTTATACTTTAAATAGTTTGGGCCTGTTCATGTACAGGTAATATACAATAAGAAAATGAAGGGGTAAATGAACAAATGTGCAGGATAATGGAGGCGAGGGGTTAATATATACGTCAGATCAGAGACAGGATGTGGCCAACCTATATTAGAGGGTAAATGACAGAGGCGCACATTCTATTATTGTTGCCACTGTATTGTATTGCACTGGTGCTGGCTGGTGGTCAGGAGGCTCACTTTCCTCTCACATACCAATACAAGCTGTACTTCCTGGTCACCAGCCTGTGGGTTCCAGATGGCTACTTGCAGCATGCTACGTTCACATTCTTTGCTGCTCTGATGGGTCACAGTGATCATGTGGTACAAAGCCACTCCGATAGGCTCTGTAACATTTGCCTGTGATCCATTGTGTCCAATGACAGCACAATCACAGCACAGGAGCACAGTTCCTATAGAGCGTACCAGTACATCCTCCAGGAACAATAGGGGAGTGGACCAGTCATACATATACAGTGGCCAGTCTTCAACAGGTTTATCTAAACCTAAAAGAGTTCAATTCAAATCTTCATGGCATAGAGCTGCCAAATTCAGTTCATCAGTTTTTACACACTTGTTTTTGGTTCCTTAACTAGTTCCTTACTGTAACGGAAGCGTAGGCAGGACAGAGCACACGGAGAAGATGGGGAACACACAAAGCTTTATTGAAGCAACAAAATGACAGACACTCAATGGGGAAATGGCAGGGAGGGTGATGTGTGCGCAAACCAGGGACGATTCCAGGCACGGGGGGTCTTCGGCGACAGGCAGGCAATCCTTGGGGCCTCAGCCGAGTTTCCCTCCGTGACTGGACAGCGGATTGGAGACTCGGGCAACAGGCGGGCAACCTACCCCTGAGCAGGGGTCTCGAGCAACAGGCAGGCAATCTACCCCTGGGCAGGGGTCTCGAGCAACAGGCGGCAACCTACCACTGGGCAGGGACCTTGTGCAACAGGCGGCAACCTACCACTGGGCAGGGACCTTGGGCAACAGGCGGCAACCTACCACTGGGCAGGGACCTCGGGCAACAGGCGGCAACCTACCACTGGGCAGGGACCTCGGGCAACAGGCGGCAATCTACCCCTGGGCAGGCGTCTCGAGCAACAGGCGGCAACCTACCACTGGGCAGGGACCTTGGGCAACAGGCGGCAACCTACCACTGGGCAGGGACCTCGGGCAACAGGCGGCAACCTACCACTGGGCAGGGACCTCGGGCAACAGGCGGCAATCTACCCCTGGGCAGGGGTCTCGGGCAACAGGCGGCAACCTACCCTGGGCAGGGACCTCAGGCAACAGGAGGAAATCTACCCCTGGGCAGGGGTCTCGGGCAAAAGGCGGCAACCTACCACTGGGCAGGGACCTCGGGCAACAGGTGGCAATCTACCCCTGGGCAGGGACCTCGAGCAACAGGCGGCAATCTACCCCTGGGCAGGGGTCTCGGGCAACAGGCGGCAACCTACCACTGGGCAGGGACCTCGGGCAACAGGTGGCAACCTACCACTGGCAGGGACCTCGGGCAACAGGCAGGGGCAACCTACCACTGGGCAGGGACCTTGGGCAACAGGCGGCAATCTACCCCTGGGCAGGGTCTCAGCTGTGGGGTCTGACCTTTGAGGAGAAGGCTCATGCAGAGCTGTGGAAACTCCAAACCCTGGGGTATTGCAGAGAGCTACAGTCCTGACCTTTTGGGGTCTGCAGAGTGCGCAGGGGGGATGGCTGGGGAGGCTCGGTCCCCCTCACCCGAGCCTCCCAGCATCTTTCTAGGAGCAAGAAGATTCCAGCAGCATGGACAGGAACAGAGAAAGGAGGGCTTCTTCCTGTGCGGGTCTTTTGAAAACCATGTGGGACACGGCTAGGGTGCCTTGGCAATGGCCGGCCTAGCCCTGTCCATGGAAGCTCCACAGACATCGGAATGTGCAAGGGGGAAGGGAGGGGTGAAGGGATATGGCGGGGGATGGGAGAGGCACTGGCAGTCCCCGACACTTACCAATGTACATACAAGCTTTCCTAAATTGTGTTAGTAAACAATATGTAAACCCAACATTTCATATTGCTGACATGCACCTTCTGTGCCATGTACTTGTATGAAAAAGTATCCTGTTCTCTTTTCCTGCCAGTCCCTCTGCTTTCCTATTACAACTGACAACACTAAGCAGGAGAACACACCATGGTCAGTTCTCTAGCTGTGCTGGGAACTCAGCCTGCTCTCCCCCCAAGGATCAGACTTGTCCTGACACGACCCCCTGCACAGCCATTCACTAGGAAATCCAGTGTGCTGATGGTTCTCCTCGCTTAGGTCTCTGTTCTGAGCTGAATAAGAAACTTAGAGGGAATGTGATCACTTAGAAAAAAAAGGAAAGTATTTATAATGCTGTTTATATCTGTACACAAATTGTTTTGTCTTTCATTTTTTTTTTTTAAACTAAATAGGTTGTTTGAAAGGTGAGGGTTTACAATCATGTTAAGTGCTGTACCAGGCAAATGTGTCAAAAATATCAAATGGGAGAATAAAAGTAGAGAACACCAGCAAGATAGTATAGCTAGTATCATGATAAATAATACACAGACACAAGAAACTCCAGTTTATATTGTATTGGCATACGTATTACACTGATTGGTGACATAAGCACAGATTTCACTCCATTTTCATTACCCACAGAGATCATTTAAAACCAGGTGGCTGCATGCAAGCCTTACAAAGTCTGAAAGGTTTTAACAAAATCATATGAATAGATCTCAATGCTGCATACTCATCCTAACATTTTATGGCACTGTAATAAGGTAATAGATTCAGTCCTAACATCTGAAAATATAGCCTAGATTTACAAAAATATTAGTTTGATTAAGATACCACAATGTGGTAAGGATAACAGATCATACATGACAGTGTCTCCCTATTTATTTGTATTACAAAATAGCACCATATTCTGAATCAAGAGGTAAGTTTGCCATTTTATAGATTGAGAACCCCAATTTAAAAGGGCACCAAAAAGTAAAATCATGTAAACCACTGAAAAAAGCATAGGCAGTGACATGATTACTAATCTGGTATACATCAGCATTTGTAATCTTCTGGACTATAAGATTTTGGCCTGCTTGTGCAGCCATCTATACAATTACATATGTACAGTTTTACAAATAATACATTCCATATTATGCCCATCTGTCAGAAATAATTTTGCAGATGATATTTATTTGACTATACCAAGTTCTGAAAGAGCATCAAGAATAAATACAAAGCAGCTTAAGACTCAGAGCCAAACAAAAGCAATACAAACAAAATATAAAACCAAAGTCAAAGCAAAAGGGCTGCCAGAAGTGTTATTTACAAACAGTGCATTTAGCATTAAATTTGACTAAGGACCTATTCACACTATTTCAATGTGGTAACATGCAGGATAAAAAGATTTATGTGCATTGATACAATGCCATTTATTCTCAAAAGCACTCCTATACACCACCTCATTGCACTTCCCAAATGCTGCATGCATAATTTTCGGTCTGTTGCAGTGTGTTGGGAACCCCTTTCAACTGAATGGGAAGACTGAACACAAATTAACATGTGAACGAACACGTGTTACCGTACTTGCATTTAATGAATTGCAGTGGACTGGACTAGTGTGAACAGGCCCTTGATCATAGCAACCAGGTAATTATATAACCAGAAACCTTTGTGAGCAGTATATGGTATTATCTGGTTCTTAACAAATTTACAAGCAAATACAATATATGTAAATAAAGCTGGCCACACGTGGATCAAAATTTGGCAGGTTCAGCAGGAACTGGCTGAATTTTGATCCATGTATTATTATTGTACAGTTATTGCACAGAAGTTGATCTACCAATTAACTTCTGTGCAAACAGCCTGTCAGATAAATGCTCCTAACTTAGTGCAGCAGGTTATAGGCAGCGGCACTGATCATTGTATTCTGACGTCTCCCCGCTGGCAGAGCACAATGGGAGTGATTTCTCCACGTACCTCAAATGTTTGGATGTGGGAATCAGGTCAGCTATTTTGTTCAACCCACTAGTTGAACAAAAAAAACAAAACAAAACTGAATCATCTATGGGCTGCTTAACTCTCTGAAGGGCATTACAAGCAGTAGAAAGAACACAAGTATGCAATAATTCAGAGAAACCAAACCACACAGTAGCTTCTGAGTAGTCAGCATCTGCGCTAAATTTACTGTGAATTATTGCACAGAGCTGTTCTTTGTACCAATGTTATTAAAGTAGTTCTAAAGACTGAAGGTTTTTTTTACTTTCATGCATTCTATACATGAAGATAAAAAACCTTAAAAGGAGAAGTTCAGCTTTCATGTTACATGTTAAACCCATATTTAGGGTGTAACATGTAACCTGTTATGATCAGACTGGCCCCCGCTCCCCTGCTTTGACAGCTAGTAGGGAATCTTCTCCCCCCTCAGCAGCTGTCAGATTTGTAAAAAAAAAAACGAGGCTGTGCGGAGCTCCGCTTGGCCACGTCGCTCATTCATTGTGTTCCATGAATGAGAAACTACAAGTCCAGACAGCCTTAGCGGCTATTGGATTGTAGTTCGCAATGAACTACCACGGCGCTGTGGTAGTTTATAGATTCTTCCTGTTACTATATTTGCTTGCCTGTACATCCAGCAGAGATGTGCGCTCTGTGTGTGTCTTATAGACACACAGAGATGGCTCGGGAGTGAGCAAGTATGAGTGCCCCCAGAGCAAGCTGCTTTCTCTGGGGACACTCTGCAGGGAGGAGGAGCCAGGAGTGCCCAAGAAGAGGAGGACTGAGGCTGCTCTGTGCAAAACCATTACACAGAGCAGGTAAGTATATGTTAGTTATTTAAAAGAAAATACAATCTGAACCTTTAGTATCACATTAAGCCCTTTAATTTAAATGCATTGTCAAACTGACTCGAGCATCCATCTCTTTCTCTGTGTGTCATTTCATTTGCAGATAGGCAGAGAGAAGCAATTCTGGGGGGCAAAAATCTCTGTTCCTGTTCACCACACGCATCTGACGTTTGCCTTTCAAGTCGGAACCTATAATAAGAAAAATTAGAAAGATAATGGAAATGAGGGTGATAGTACTGACAGCATTTACTGCCTCCTAAAATCAAAACTGTCACTAACACTAACTGTTTACAATATAATTTGAACATCAGTTGTACAAGCAAATATTCTATGGAAAATTATCATTGGTCGTATTTAAAGCTGACCTTCTTTAAGCAGCTAAAAAAAGATCACTATTCTCTTGGAGGACCCACAGGATTCTTCCACATAGAACATTTATCTCTTTCAGCAATAATGGGTATTTTGCTTTATAGATTGATATGCTTTGGTAGAATCAAAGTATTGATCTATATAGAGAACTTTACTTGCTTTTACAATTTGGTACTCTTAATACTATAAATATATAGAATCTTTGAGGAGATGGGCAATGCTTATGTATTGCTTAACTTATCACTACTTCTAGATTAGTATTTATTCGATGTGCCATATTCCCCTCAAATACATTATTATGTAGGATCTAGCATGCTGTAATTATCTGAATGGGGAGAAGGCCCTCATTGTTCACCAATTGTACACATTGTTCTCAGGGGGTCACTATTTAAGTCCAGTTTAGGTCCCCCCTTATCTGGGCTATCATGTCTTTAAGGGAATTTAATAGGATACCCATTTATTATTTACATTTTTTCCACTTAGTCTACACTATTGGAGCTTTGGATGACATTCACTTTCTGACTGTAAGGAGGATATAAAGATCTCGGGGTCTTGCTGTTTTCTGTCATCATCCAATGCAGGCTGTTTCTTTTCTAATGCTTTCATATACACTGGTCAGCACCTATAACAGGTATGCAGCAGCTTTGTTGTATTATCAAGTAGAGATCTATAATGAAAACATTTTGTCTTGTTAAATTGTACTGTTAATGTATTTTTCTACATTCTAGAGATGTATCTATTGTTTTCTTCCTGGAGAAGCAGGCTTTTGCCCTGTGAAATGCACTGAATTATTAAGCACTCAATACCCCATCTACTACATCACCAGTGGGGGGTGCTACTATTCTCCCTCTTTCATGGTGTACCAT